CCACGGCACCCAGCCCAGAGCCCAGCCTCTAAAACAAGCTCAAAAGATTTTCTGTGAAGGAATGTTCGATTTGGGTATCCGAACCCGAAAGTGCCATTTCTTTTCCTGTGATGGTCAGTCATGTTTTTGGTGTGTTTCTTCGTTTGTTTGTTTTTTAAATGACATTTTTCCCTGCTCTTGGTGACAATTAATGCGGAGTTCAGACTGCGGGGTTTGAGTGAAGAAATCTGAACAATAACTAGCTAGGCTAGACAAAGCCTGTTACAGAAGCCTCTTAGGCAGGCTTCTGTGTCTATTAATGTGGTTTACAATGATATGTTAGGAGCATTGCATACCCGAAGAATATTGATTGCATTTCACGTAATGCGATTTACAGTTAAGATGGTTATGCTGGTCCAGGGAAGTATTTGTTTTGTTCAATAACGTTAGACAGAAAACATAGATTTTAATAAATACTGCATGAGAACCATGCTTTTGGGTGAACTTCAAGGAGAAAAAGCCATATGGCTACACATTGGTGGGTACTTACATTTCTAAACCTGAAAAGATACATGTGGAGACATTCTTGGCTTTGCAAATAGATTCCTCTGAATTGTTCTTGTTTTCACATAGAAACCTTTGTCTGGCATTTTGTATGTAACCTCGAAGGATAATAGTAACAGGATAGAATGTACAGCAGGATCCCACTTGTTTAAAAACACATATTTGGACACATTTATAGGGACACACACCCATATCTGAAACTCTGGAAAACTGTGTCTCTTCACAGTGGTTAGGAAGAGGAGCAGGGCAGAGCAAGGTATTTTAAAATTTAGTTACATATTTCAGTGACATTTGAATTCTTATAAAACATGTTCAGAGAAAGATTAATCAGAGAAAGATTAATACGCAGAGCTGAAGCTGATAACAGAGACAATAAAAATAGTATTGCAAAGAGCTCAAAAGTAATCTAGCTGCCCGAGCTGCATGTTGAAAAATAAATTAAAACACTAAAAGGCTGCCTTTAGGTCCACAAACTACTACAAGACGGGCCAGGAACTGAGAAAATTTGGCGCATCTGGCGGTATTCTTCCCCCGAACAGGGCTGCTCACACCATAGGTAGTGAAAGGGAAGCTTTGTTTGGGTTTCATTTCCCCACTGCCTTGCAGACTGATACTTTAATAAAATCGATAAAAACGAACTACTGGGAAAATGAAATTAACAAACAACGAAGACTTCAGGGCCCAATATTTTTATTATTAGATCGAACAGACATAAAATTCTTCTGTCAAATTGCTTTGAAACGGTGTTTCTCAGCGGGGGTGGGGAGCTGTGACTTGGCCCCCCAGGGGACGCTCGGCCATATCTGGGGACACTCTTGGCTGTCACAACCAGGAGGGTGGTACTGACTGGCATTTAAGAAATGGGTCGAGGCCAGGGAAGCTGCCCCATGTCCCGCAGTGCCCGGGACGGGCCTCCCACACTAAGGAACTGTCGGGCTCGAAATATCATTGGTGCTGATGTGGGAAAACCCCGCCTTACGGTTTTCAGGTGGCCAGTCCCAGTGTCGTATTTATCTCTCAGCAGACGCAGTCTGAGAAGGTGGCTTTAACAGACCCACTTACTTTGAACTGTGACCCAGTGAGGTTGCCAAACAAATCACAACCAGAGCTTTCTAATCCTTGAAATCTGGGAGGCTTCCAAGTCAACAGCATGTGAGGCGCAGCACAGGAAAATGGAGCAGAGAGGTGGAATCAAATGACATACATGAAATTATCCTGGTGAGACCGGGTCTTCAAGCTCACCCTGCCATGGCCCACCCGTGTGAGAAAGTGAGTTGATATCTCAGGGCCCCCATCTTCCCATCTGTGAAATGGGGAGGCCGCCCTGTTCACAAGGCTACAGTGGGGACCCAAACAATACTACACCCGTAGGCTAGTTCTCTCTCCAACTCCTCCATTGAAGGACTCTGCCCCAGGTCACTGAGAACCCAGAGTATTGTCTCAATTCTTTTAACTTCTGTGCCGCCTTAGCACAACGCACCTGGCCTCTTCTCCTCCCCCTTTGGGAAGAGTGGGGTTCAGCAGACACTCTCAGCCGCCAGACCTGTGAATGAGTGCGGGGCGGGGCCTGCCTCTCCCCTGAAGATTAAGTGAAACTGCTTTGTAAAATGCAGAGTGCCATGCAAATGTGACAGCCACTCACTGGCTTGGCCAGTATTTAGTGGGCCCTTCCCAGCTGCCCTCCCTTACTATCAAGCTGTGGGAGAGGAAACTAGAAGGAAAAAAAAAGGGGGGCTCCAGAAAACTTCTCCCCCCCCCCCGTAGCAGTGAGCATTTTGTGAGACCCAAAGCTGTTTGCAAGGCATAACCAGGCTCCCGCACATTCATGAGAAAACAACAACAAATACAACTACCAGGGAAGAAGGGAATATACAATTTGTGGAGAAGCTTCTAGTACAACTTCCGAGGCAGCCACAGTGCAGCCAGCTCAGCTCTGGCTGGAACTTTGGGAAGGATCTCACCCAAGAAATTCCAGGTGCACCTTAAAAAGGAATTGTCCGGCCCTGGCCAGTGCGGCTCAGTCGGTTAGAACATCATCACCTACACCAAGGGTTGGGGGTCCGACTCCCTGTCAGGGCACAGGCCTGGGGTGTGGGTTTGATTCCGCGTTGGGATGCATGTGGGAGGCGAGCAATCAATTGTTTCCCTCTCACATCCGTGTGTCTCCCTCCCTTCCTCTCTCTCTCAAATCAATAAACATATTTGTTTGAAAAAGTAATTGTCCAGTTGGCGCTTGTCTTCCGGTCCTAACCTGGAGCAGGGCCACACACCCGGCCCCTGGCACCGCTGACCTGGCTCAGGGAAGCGGAACACCGACCCTCCCCTGTCCCTGTTCTGGGAACCGGGGCCCTGGGGCCGGTGGGTCGGGAATGGCAGTTCTCAGAGCAGCCCGATCAGATCTCTGCTTCCGGCACTCTCTTTCTCGAGAACACCTCCCTCTCTTGCACAACTGCCAGGTGTGAGTCATGCTCTGGGTTTCGCAGAAGCCGTGAGGACCTGTCCCAGGCTGCTCTCACGTCGTGTTCTGAGTCAGCACAGGTGCTGTGTGGGGCAGTGTCAGCGGTGCTCCTGGCTGCAGCAGGGAGGCCTCGGGGAGCAGCCTCGCCCGGCCGACCAGGGGCTGGAAGTGCCCATGCCGGAGACAGGGGGGGCTGGGGGAAGCGTGTGAATGAATAACAGACCTGTTAACTACCCACAGCTGCCCAGGAGGAAAACTCTGCTCTGCCATCCACGTTACTTCGCCTGCCTCTTCCCGCCCTCACCGCCCTCGCGTCTCCACTGTTGTCATGGGAGGGGCCAGAGGAAGGCGGCTCACGATCCCCTTCTGCACCCGAGGCGCCTGCAGACAAGGGGTGCACTCGGAGAGTTAAGACATTATTTTTCTTCCACGGGCATGCACGGCCTGCATGGGGACACGCACTGGAAACTAACAATGACCACAAGTGAGCACACTGGAGGAGACTTTGGGAACAGAGAGGGAGAAGCCGCTGAGCGCCCGCCGGCAAGGAAACGGTCCTTTATCCCTCCCCGTGCGCTCCTGGAACAGACTTGTAACGTTCAAAGCCAGCAGAGGTTGATACCACACCCTGGCAACTTTGTAACATTTTCTCACTGTAGGACGTTTTGGCCGAACACACAGTCTTGAACTGTCTTCTCCTGGCGCGTTATGAAAGTATCTTCTCCCCCAGCACGTGCTTTGTGTTACCGTCTACTTAGATCTCCTAAGATGTGCCTTTCACGTCCAAAAGCAATTCACTGACACAGACGCGCCTGCGGATCCCTAAGGCTGTCTACTCTGGTACCAGGCACACTTGGACATGACCCTCAGTCCATGCTAACACATACTCACACATTTCAGGTTTTTTCCTGTTTTCAAAGAAATGATACATGAGAGTACTCATATAGTCTCCTTTTTTTTCCCCATGTTGGTCTTGTATAGCTATTTCTTTTCTATTAAATCAGGCACGGGGTGCACTTTCTAAGGCTGAGCTCTTTGCACGGGAGCCCCGTGACTCAACTGTGCCCTATGAGGTATTCTGGGGGCTTTTTACAAGTTGGGAGACTTCATTAAGATTAGTAAAAACAGGATCATCAAAGTCATGCAAACCGAAAGTAGAAAAAAGAAACACCGTAGTTTCCTGAGGGTTCGACGAAACTTTCTGTTCACTGGCTTCGTAATTCATGAGCATCAAAGTCAAGGAAATTGTGGCGGCCCAGTTTTGCAGCCCCAGTGTCTGAGGCTCAGAAATGCAGTCACTCAGCTGAATCAAATGTCGTGTTTTTTTAAAATTCAAAATGGGTAAAGTATAGATTTATGGTTTTAGCATCAGAGTCAGTTTAATGACTAGGGAGAGCCTTTGAGGACATTTGTGCCAAACCCGTCGCTTCACAGAAGAATAGTGTCAGCTACCGTGTGACTGGCAGCCCCTTCACCGCCCAGGGCTCAGCTTCCTGATGTGTGAAGTGAGAGGCTGGGCTGCGTGAACTCTTGGTCCCCTTCCACCAGCGCATGGCAGGATCCTGATAAATGGTGGGTGAATGGCACTAATGCCCAGAGAGGCTGGTTAACCTGCCTGAGATCACACAGCTAGTCAGGGACAGGCATGAGTCTTCCTGTTCCCACACTTCCTGTACTCTTCCTATACAATAGGCTTAGAATAAAGACAGTGAATTTTGTACAAAAGTACCTAGAGATTAATGAACAAAATACCACAAGAAGAGGAAAAAAACCCAAAACAACTCTGTGCTAAAACCAAGTCAAACTTCTATTTATTTCAGTTACCTGCATATCCACTTTTTAAATAAAGATTTTGTTTATTTATTTTTAGAGAGAGGGAAGGAGAAGGAGAGAGAAGCATCAGTCAGGTGCCTCTTGCACAAGCCCCGACTGGGACCGAACCCGCAACCCAGGCATGCACCCTGTCTGGGAATCGAACCCACGCCCCTTCGCTTGCAGAATGACGTCCAACCAGCTGAGCCGCACCGGTCAGGGTGTGCGCATCCACTTGTAAACCACACACTGGCTGCCCCCAGACACCCAGATATGGGCCAGCTGTGCACCGAGGGGGTGGCAGCCAGTGCTCTGGTTTCTCTTGCTGCAGAACAAACTTCTCCAAAACGAAGGGCCTTACAACAATTTATTATCACCTCTTGTAATGGGTTAAATTGAGTACCCCCCCAAACACACACACACACACACACACACACACACGTCCTAACCACCAATACCTCTGAATCAAACTGATTTGAAAACAGGGTCTTCACAGATGCTCCCAGCTGAGACGCAGTCACCAGGCTGGGCCTGAACCCGATACAACTGGTGTCCTTCTAAGAGGGAAGTTCAGACACAGAGACCCCCGGAGGGAGGACGGCTGTGTGACAGCGGGAAGAAGGAGGCAGAGGCTGGAGTGATGCTGTCGTGAAGCCGAGGTGAGCCTGAGGCCACCGCTGCTGGAAGAGACAAGGAAGGGCCCTCCCCTAGAAGTCTCAGAGGCAGCGCAGCCCTGCGGACACCTTGATTTGGGACTTGAGGGCTCCAGAGTTGTGAGACGACGACGTTTGGAGCCACACAGTCTGTGGTGCTGGGGGTCCCAGGGCCCCGGGGTCAGGCAGCCCCAGGAGTGAGCACAGTGCTCCCGCCTCCTCTGTGGTTCGACCGGACTCAGCGGGTCCTTCTCTGTCAGGCTCCCTCCCACGACGGCTGGGACCAGAGTCACTGGGAGGCTCGACAGATGTCCCAGGTGGCATGGCCACGGGGCCACCATTGACACTGTCCCCAGCCGGAGGCCGAGCTGGGGCTGTGGTCCGGAGCGCACACTGTGGCCTCTCCGTGTGATTTGGGTTTCTGACAGGATGGCAGTGTCCCGAGAGCGGCCACTCCGCAGAGACGGGAGGTGGAAACCGCTCAGCCGGCGGGACCCTGGCCAGGAACTGGGCGGCCTCTGCTCTATCAGCCACACCCTCCAAGGAGTGGGACTCACTTTAAAGCCAAGTCTTAGCGAGTGGGGGGCAGTTCTTTGAGACGTTCTGAGCCGTCGCCCCACACTGGTGATTCTGATGAGCCAGACTGAGCTGCAGAAAGCATCTCTCAGGGTAGCAATGTCTTCTTTGGGACCCAGAGGAGCTAATGAGGCCCCCAAGGGCTCCAAGTGAAGAAGGGACCATCTCCGTCTCCGACCAGGTGTCCCCCAGAGCCCCTCTCACCCCTGGGTTGCAGCGCAGGAGGCCCGGGCGGCATTTCCTCCCTCCTTGCGTTTGAATCACTCACTGCAACTGTTACACTGCGTTCGGCGACTCCCAGGCTGATGAGGACACATGGTCCCTGAAGGCCTCACAATCTTTATTCAACGAGCTTCCTTCAACGCCTGCTGGGGGCCCTGCGTGCCGGCTGCCGAGACAAGAAAATAAGTAGGAACTTTACAAGTTCAGCAGGGAGAAAGTGCCTGCAGCCTGGGGGGACGGAGTCCGGAAGCCTTCCCTCTTGCTCTTCCTTTTTTCTCTCTGCGTGTGGGAGGGTAGGGTTCTGGGTCTCGAGCCATCCTGGCCATGGGTGTCTCTAGACACGTTTGCTTTTCCCGAGGGGTGGCTGGCCTGGGACACTGTCTGGGCCCGAGCACCGTGTCCCCCCGCCGCAGTGTCCTGGGACAAGCTTTCCAGTGATGAGACAGGATAGTTAGAGGCCAGGAAAACTGCTCGGCAGGTGGAGTGGGGAAACTGAGGCAGCCAAACGCAGTGGTGGAGCGGTTTACAGGCAGAGACAGAGGTCGCCTCCCCGGAGACGACATCTGGGCCCCAGCGGAGTGTCAGCTCCTGGCCCGGAAAAGCAGCAAAGCCAGGCCGGCAGCTCCAGAACCAACCGCAGTGACCAGAGACCCCTTGCCTGGCGCTGACCAGTCGGTGGACACCTTGATCCTGAAAACACACCCGGAGAAGTGATAATGTTCCACTGAAACCCTCCCCTGAGACCTCTCCTAAGAGCCCCTCCTGCAAGAGAGAGAAAAAGACAAAGGACCTAGCACAGGGGCTCTCCCTCTGGGGCACAGCCTGAGCCGTTCCCTTTCCCTTCGTTTTGCCCACTTCTTGACCCACAGGCTCCTGCCTTCTAAGCTCTAAGGCAGCTGGCCGCTGTCCCAGGCTGACCCCCTGCACCTGCCCCCAAAACCCCCTTTTCTTTGACTGCTAAGGCAGCCCAGGCAAGGCTCCCCTGTTGCTGATTCTGTGCTAAGCCCTTCCTTGTCCCGCCGCCCTCGGCTTTAACAAACGTACCCTGCCCTGACTGGTGCGGCACAGTGGGCTGGGTGCTGTCCCGCAGAGCAGAGGGTCTGGTGCTGTTTCCACTCAGGGCAGGTTCAGGGCCAGGCTGGCGTGCACGAGAGGCAGCCCATGGGTGCTTCCCTCCCTCCCTTCCCCTCTCTCTAAAAGTAAATGAATAAAATCTATGTACTATTTTTTTCTGTCTAGAGTTTTTCCGAATTAGAAGGTAAAAAGCATTAGTTTAACACATACTATTTAGCACTTGGAGGACGGAGAAGGATGAGCAGCAGTGGAGTGCTGGAGGTGGGCAGGGAGCAGTGAAAACTCAGTAGCATCGCCTGATCCTGCACAAATGGCCTCCACTTCTCCGGTACTTTGAGAAACAATCTTTTTGCCTTTTTAGACGCAAAAGGGTATAACTGGGTCAGTTAGAACAGAAAATGTAAAGATTCTCTCCTTGTTGTTATAGTGATTGTGAAATACCTATAAATCTCACCCCAGAAGGAATTAATTTGACCAACGCAGATGTAAGGTCAGAAATAATAGGACTCCGATCACTGGGCCATCTGTGCGCGCTCTTATCAAACGCTCCGGAGGACACGGGGCACAGTGTTGTTGTTACGATACCTGGAGGGGGCGGTGTGAGTGCAATGGAGGAAAGAGACTAGAGGTCATGTGTTTGCCTTGCTTGCAGAAACCCGATAAAGAGAGCTGGAGTCCCCACTGTAGGGCCTGGGCTGCGGGACGGGGAACCTGGCCCCGGGAGCCTCTTACAGTTGTGGGAATGGGCACTGAGGCACAGATGTCGTCCTGATTGGCATCAGGGAACTGGAGGCTTATGGGTAATCCCCCGCCTGGAAGGAGATGGAGAGCACCCTTAATTAGTTAAGGTCTTATTAGAGCCCAGCAGAAAGACAGTCAGGGAAGGGCTGAATATTTAGGTATTAAATCAGTGCCTTCTATACGGGCGGCCCAATGCCAAGGATGGGAAAGGGCAGAATGAGATAAGTAGGGTCTGAGCCACCAGGTGGCTGACGGGCCAAGGACTGCTGACCAAGGAGTTCCCACAGGACTCAGTTTCCCCGTCTGTGGAGTGAAACCTCCCTCCCTCATATGCGCTGGGTGAGGATGAAAGGGAATGATGCACCTAAAGTGAGTACCAGGCACTGGGCAGCTGCCTGGTCCCCACCCCCTCCTGATGCACGAAACCGGGTTGCCCAGGGTTCCTGTGAGTCCCGCCCACTCTGGGCTGTCCCCAGGGCAGCTCCATGGACCCGGCTGGAGACCTCGTGCTGCTGTCTTAACCCAGGCGTCCCGTGGGCCCAGAACTGGCCCTTGCGGTTCACCCCACCCCCACGCCCAGGCTGCTCACTGCAGGGCCAGAGCTCATTAGGTTAGGAAAGCCACCTCTTTTCAAAATGGGAATATATTTGGGCTGCAACAGTGATTTCAATTTGTGGCATTCGCCACAGTCATGCTATCAAGCAGAGTTCGGGTTTATTAACTTTATGTGCATCGGAGTCTTTGAAATTGTTAGTTCAGACGTATGGAAATAAATTTTCATAATATGGACTACAAGCCCTGTTATATGGGACATCTTGAACAGCAGAGTGAAATAGCTTTTAAATGACTACTAGTACAGCAGATTTCTGCTGTAAAATGGTGTAGAAAGAGGGGAGAAGGAAGCGTAGATGGAAAAGAAAGAAAGGGGGAAGGAGGGAGGGTGGGCAGGAAGGAAGGAAGGAAGGAAGGAAGGAAGGAAGGAAGGAAGGGAGGGAGGGAGGGAATAAAAGTACATGTGACGGTGCTGTATTTGTGGTACTGTTCAGGGAGAAATCCCGTCCTCTTATCCCTGGAACCAAGAACCGTAGGACAGCCGCCCTGTAAAGGCCGGAGTCCTCTCTCTCAAGCCGCTAGGGCTGCGGGGAACTAGGGACCTCAGGGCGGCGTGCGCCCTGGCTGGGCTGCAAGGAAGGGTGAGGGGCCCGTGCAAGGCCGCAATCGCGGCAGCCTGCAGCAGGCATCTGCTTTCCATCACCGGCCGACGACGGGAGGAAATAGGATCCCAGATGCTCCTTGGACGAACCGTGGGTTCACGGGGGAAGGGGGTGGGCTCAGTGCTTCACTCCGCCCTCTGTCCACCTAAAATCAGGTTCAGCGGGCTCTCTGCCTTGACCCCTGCATCTGCCTTGGGGGAGGTTTCAGAGCTGCTCACACGCGGATTCATGAGAGCACCAAGTACAGACTCCTGCAGAGACCCAGGGCAGGAGCCGGGAGAGTGCCAGCTGTTGGAGGGGAAACGTGAGAAGCTGAACCAGGCTGAACTTAGATTTTTCAACAAGCATCGAGTTGCACAAGTCAGCTATATTGGCCCGACAAAGAAGGAAAGAAAATCGAAGCGCAAAGTCTTCTAATGTCGTCAGGAAAAAGACAAAAAATATTTACATCTTCTATTATTCTCTTTATAGCCCCCCCACACCCCCCCGCCTAACAATGAACTTGGAATCACCATCATGTTATTACCAGAAATCCATCTCACGTTACTACCAGAGGTGACTACACAGTAAGGCTACTGGTCCCACAAGCCACGCTCGGGAGTCAATGTCCCGATTTTAGATCAAAGCAGAGGCAAGCAGTGTGCGTGTTTCTCAGACTATTGTTTCTTGTACCCGAAACTGATACAATGTTGTGTGCTAACAGCTTCATCTGAAAGACCATATTCTGTTTTCGCA